AAAAACTACCATAAGGAAATAACAAAAATAGCTGTATTTTCTTCAAACTATTAATGATGAATTGCAATTCCTTACCTTCATCCTGCCCCAAGATAAGTCTGTGTGTTTTCAGAAGATTGGTTCTCATTCTAGTTAGCTGGTCTAGAAGACTGCGACGGGGAATATCATATGCATTTCTGAATGCCTGTGGCTTCAAATCCTAGTTTTGTGACAAAATAAGTAACTTCCAGTTAATCCATCAGTTTTCATGCATGGAGAAATTCCACTATGAACTCTAATAACATTAACTTTTAAAAAATACTCTTAAGTAACTTTAGAGTTTCATAACTGAATACAATCATCTCAGTGCCTATTTTTTCAACATGACCTTATTCAGCATTAGTGCTTTCAGCTCCATTAAGAGAAAGCACATTAATCTGTGGATGAACAATAGCTGTCTTTTGCAGAGATTGGCACTTAAAACACAGTAATTTTCATTTACTACCATGGGGTTTTCAAACAGTGTCCCAAAATCAAGTGCAAAAAAAATTGCATTTATTATTCTCCCTCTTTATGTCTATGCTGCACTCATCACAGTTCAGCGAAGGTACTTCCTTCTATACTACGTCCATAAAAATTACCCATTAAACAGATGAGATTAACTACTTGTCATGCAAGATCACAGTGCTGTTTACCTTGTTTAAAAGTCCTATCTGGAATCCAGCAAATTCTTTAACATTCATTTCCGACAGTCTCAGAGGAGATTCCCCAGTGATCCCTTGCAGCAGTTGTTTAAAATCCCTACTGTGTACCAAGGAGAGGCCACTGGAGTGATTTTTCACTTTTATTCCAGTTTCTTGTGGAACTTTCTTACCCACTGAACCTATTATCCGTTCCGATTCTATTTTTGTCTAAAATGGAATCACATTGTGAGTTAAAGAATCAGCAGGCATTGCACATTTCCAGTACAAAACACACAGTACATTAGCAGAATAAAACTACAAATTTAGTTCCCTACTACCTACCCAGGGACACATTGGATTACAGAGATTAGAACTCAAGCATAAAGAAATCCTAATGTGCTAGCATATGGAAAAATATTTAGCCAGTGTATCTAAATTTATATGCCAGTAGGAGGTCTGTGAATATTCCCTGATTTTGTTGCAAGTCTGTGACTCTGTTGTGTCCCTGAAGAACCATCTTTAATGGGAAAGAATAAACAAAATTGAAGGTAGGTGTGACACCTTAGGTTACAATAAAGTTGCATTTAAAACCATAGTATTACTCGGATATAGTAATAGAATTTCAGTTTATTTTTGAAGCAACCTATGAACTAAGGTTTGCTGTGTATGTTTGTAACAATATAAGGGAGAAAAATTGCGAAAGAAATCTGTTTTATGAGTACATTCCTAAAAACGCATCACTACTCCAATTAGCACAGATTTCTTATTACAGCTACAGAGAATTTTACTCTATTAAGTTCTAGCTGTATTCAGAGTTAAGGGTTTTTTTTACCCACTAGCAATACCTCCAAAGGAAAAAAAAAAACACCCAACCAACCGAAACCCCAAAACCCACTGTGATTGCAAGCCACTTCCCCCAGATCTCCTCCTCTGCACAGTTTGCTTCATTATCTGTGGGAAATTGAATTTAAGAACAGCAGGAGCACAGCAGAATTCTGGAATTGCCTGTGCCTATACAGGAGCTGATAATGCATTCCACACATTCAAACTGTTCCATGTGCTGAGAACTTCTGTGAGAGCCACAGCAGCCATCTCGAGTCATTCCAACTCCACAGTGCAGATAAATCACAGGAATTTGCATATCATTAGATTACCAAAATACCACAGGAAGTTTTATGTCTAGTAGATGCTCAGTCATTCAGAGGCTCTGGGATGTATTTTGTGCATTCTTTAAGGCGGAGGATTTTTGCTTTGTAATTTTAAAGGCTGCACTGCTTCCCCACTGCCTTCTAGATATTGAACTACTGTTTCAAGAGCTCCTCATGCTAAGGAGGAAGAACTTCCAGGCCCTTACACCTGGAATGGCAGTCTTGGCAAAGAGAAAAAGATACAAAAGACTTTCCCACTAGGTCACGCTTAACACATAGGAAGACTTTGACCTGAAGGAAGCAGGAAGCTCAGATATAAAGGTTGAACTGTGATTTTACTCCCCACAGACAACAACATACTTTTTTTCTTTTTGGAAAATATACATTGCCAAAGGACACATGGAAATAAACATGAGACTAAAAACATGCCTCTGACTTCAGCTGTGAAGAACAATGGCAAGAGCAGGCATAATTCCAATTAATTATTATCTTTGGAGTTTAAAATCTAACAGATATTTAAAGTAAAGCTGAAGAGGTTTCATTTGCATTCCTCTCCACCACTTACAGAAGGCACAATCACTGGCTACAGAACCATACTGAATTCATCCATATTTGCAGTGGAAATGCTCACCAATCTTCAATTATAATATATGCTGCACACCCATATGAACTCCCCCACAGGGATTAACTGCTTTATAATGAGATTACCACAAACTAAATAATCAACGCACTTCTAATTGCAAAGGTTTCATCAATACTACCTGTTGGCTGAGTTTTTTAAGGTAAGAGATAACACTGTAACTAAGTCCACAATCTAAATTATCTGATATCAGATTTGGAGCTCCCATCATCCTTAGGGCTTTCTTTAATGGCTATAAGGAAAACAAAATACACAATAGTAAGAGAATAAGTATTTAAAAAAAGAAATTTATAAGCTCAATTATAGGAAGCTAAGGCACATAGATTAGTGCTCTAGCTTTTCCACTTTTGGCCACTAAAATTCAAGTCTATTCAGATAACATGTGATATGAGTTTGGTGTCTAACTAGCTCACAATGGACATTATGCCACATCACCAAGACACCACACAGTGTGGTGCCACTGGCAATTTCCACTCAAAGGCTCAGGTCCAGAATAGCCGGGATGATGCAAGTCCATATTGAGGTGCATTGTCCAAGCTACATGTAAAGGTGACACAGTGCCTCCCTCCACCCTTTATTTGGCCCAGCCAATATCAGCTTCCCAAGTTGTAGCACTTCACTCACATTAACAAACAACCTAATCTGCATTTTCCTTATCCAGTTACAAAAATAATGCCAAATTTGGCTTCTCTGAATGTTCTGAAGTACTTTTGATCAAAAGTCATTTAATATTTAATAATCAGAAAACACATTTATTAAACACTTAAGATATTAACATAGCTACTACTCCTCAGTATTTCTACAATTTTTTTAATTCTTAAAAATGTTTGCACTAATCTACATACCTCTGAAAGGCAGAATGTTAACTACCTAAAATGCCATCATAATTATGTAAAAAAACTTTACTAGGAAGAGGTATGCAAAGGACTCTGGTCACACCAGCCATTATACCCCAGAGGATGAGATAAGGAGAGGAACATACCAGTAAGTAGTAAGGAGGCATTGTTTTTAAGTAGTTGTCAAAGGCCTGTCGCCACTTCAGATTTGGCTTAAGTTTGTGAACCTTAAACAAGTCATCTGCAACAAGGAAAACAACAAAAAAAGGTGTCATTTATAGAGTCCCAGACCTTTAGCTTTGTCCAAAACCGTGGATGCCAGGTTTCCCCCCATTTTGTCCCCCCACCCATCTCCCAATGGGGCTTCCCCCCAAAAACTGCTCTTAACCTGAGGTGTGAAGGATTGGGAATCCCCACTCCTAGCTGCAGTAGGCAATCCAGAGCAAGTCCCCATTACAACCACACTTAAAAGGTACACCAAACTTAAACACTGCACACAACTACCAGAGTATGGAAGGTGCAACAGATCCACCTGTTAAAAGTTTCACCTCCCTTGCCTCTCTCTTGCACATCAGGGAGTCCCTGTATCTGATTAAATCAAACAACATTAATTTTATTCCATTTCCATTCTCAAACCAGCTTTCTTCTGTTCAACCTGTATGATGAATTCTGGTTTCCAGTAAAAATATTCTTTGGCATCAAAGGGAAAGAATAAAACAAGTCCAATCAGATAATCCTTCTGGACAGCTTTGCTGGATTTGCTGCCAACAGCAGCAGCTACACCCGGCGGATAAGGGGTTACCTCCAGCCACACCACCTGCCTCATGCCAGGGCAGCAAAGTCTCCCACAGGTATAGACAAGAGAGAAATTAGCTACAAAAATTGCTGTCCTTTAAGAGAGGGGCAACCAGACATTTCTTTCCTTTGGGTAGTGTTTTAGAAGCACGTGGCTCACTCCAGGTGTGCACCTGGCTGTTAGGAATGGCTGAGGTGAAGCATGGGCCTATTTGCTGTGCACACTGAACTGTGTCTGTGGTCTCTGCACCAAACACAGCATCCTGCAATTTACCATGTGCAATTACGAATTATCCACTGAAATGAAGGTTCTTCTTAGTAGGATTGTAGCATGCTGGCAAAGTGAGGCTAATGGAAGGATATGAAGGTCTGGAGAAAGGGGATGTCCAAAAATTAACTGGGGAGAGCTGCAGGAGACAGAGATGCACAGAAGAGGGTGTGCAAAAGACAGATGTAGCAAGGAAATAGCTTTCTCCACATTGAGTTTTCAGGAAGATGTATTGGGAGAAGAAAATTTGACTTGCACGGTACTCTGCACAAATAGAATAGATGTTATGATACTACTTCCCAAGTTCTCAGAGACAAACCCCACTCAATTACAGGTATTTTCCAATCTAAATGAATTCTGGATTACATATAAAAACCATACTACAGATGCTACTTCTTCTCTTCCCTGGCCTGAAGAAAGTGGGCTGGAGTTGTGAGAGGACAAATCAAAATTCCATTTAAAATCTCAATATACTCCAAGCTTAGCACTATTATCCAAAAGAACCTGGGGTGATATCATGATATATATGGCAAACAAAAAATAACATCCATACTTATTTCACAGACCTATTTCCTTTTTGAAGCAAAATTAAACTCCACCCCTCTCAAAATTCAACATTAAAAAAAAACTTAAAAAGCAGGATGTTCAGTATTATAGTATGTCCCAATATTTTACAGTCTACGAGTTGGTTGAGTACAGCTTGAACCATAAATCAACACTTGATTAGTGTCTCGCTGCACTGTGAGGCTGTCCCAGTCAGAGCACACAGGCCCTGTGACACGGCACAGGCACTCCTCAGCTCAGCCACCTGGGCTCCCAGTCTACAGCATTTCTACTCCCAGACATCAAATGCAAAAGCACCACCCTGATATCTGCTATCCCAGGGAAAAATTATCAAACCTATGCAGAGCTTCAGATTCTTAAAATCAGTCTCCCCATTGCACAAACTCACTGCAGGAACTGCCACCCTCTCAAAAGGGTGGCAAACACAGCCACAAGTTTCAAAGAGAACTTCACCATCAGCATCTTACCTGCCTCTACCTTGAGAGTTTGAGACACACTGCCAGCAGATTGCAACCCAGGCACCTGAAAGGCACTTTCCCCCTGTGCCCTGGGCTGCACATGATGATTTAAACAAGCAAACTAAAAATAATCCAGTTAACTATGTGTTTCACAGATTAAATCCCAAACTTTTGCAGATAAAAATCAAGAACTCCTGAAAAAATTCCTTACACAATTTAGTTTTTACTTCTACCTAATTATTTTCAGATACTAATTTTTGCATAGTCTACTTAATTCTTTTTATTTCCTAACTCAGAGGCAGTTAAAAGCATTGTGTAATTGGGAACATGGTATTAAAAACCATTATGAACAGGCTGCAAACTGCAACAACTCAAGGGATCAGGTAAAATCACACAGACCAGTTAAGCAAAAATTGCATTGCAAAGTCTTTATCCACTTCAGATTAATGTACAAAACAACCAAATTGTGACAAAGAGGACACAATACACACTTTTACACTCAGTACTATAGAAGGGGGCTGGATGCACCTTTAAAGATCAGTGAACAGTTAAAAACAAAGACAGCATGAGAGAGAGGAGAGCCAGCAGGTAATTTAAGTAATTCAGATGGAGCCTAAATTATAACAGTTCATTCACCATGTAACCCAAAGTAAAACTTAAAACTTTTTTTTTTAAATCACCACTCACATTAAATTCCACCTGAGCAAGTACACCACCATTCCTTGTTGACTCCTATAATTCTCCTAATTATGTACTAATCCTCTATTCTAGGTAGCAGATTCATGATTTTCCATTCACAGAAAACAGCATCCTTCCCTGAAAACCATCCAAGCAAAATTAAGGCACTGCAAGGGAAAACAGCATCCATCATTACCTAAAAAAGTATTGTGTCACTGTTTCCCATTGATACAAAATGTATCAAAATGAATTTGGTGTTCCTCGCAGAGCCACAGCATGCTCTGTTCACACGGGTGAGAACATAGCCCTTAGTTTCTAAAATATAAAAACATTACTTGCAGGTTCTCTCACAGAGCCTGCAAAGCATCAAAGGAAACTGTCCATGCTGCAGTCCTTCACAGGCAGACATTTTCTAAATGCTTATCCTGCTGCATATTTAGACCCACAGAGAAAGGGTATTTAACTACCTTAAAGCATTTCCTGCATGGCTGTTTCACTGCTGCTTCTGCTGACACTCCCAATGAACAGTCACTCCTACTGCCCAGCAGTGCTTGCCCTCCCACCCATACAGCTAAAAGGAACCAAGGAAACATCTTAGGCAAGGCAGAAGCATTTAGAAATATACCTCATCTTTACTTAGCTCTCCCTAAAACCCCTCCTTCAACTTCTACCTCATGAACCTGGCTGTACAATGTTTTTAAACAGCACAGCACCTGAAGTACAACAGCGTTGCAACAATCCTTCAAGAAGAAATTTCTATCATCTGTGAGCCAAGCATTCAGCATTGAAGCATGTCAGCATCTGCCTGTGAAAAGCTCTGCTTTCAGCAGCCTCCCACTGAACAGAAAGAACTGCACCCCACCTCCTCAGTTCTGGGAGCAAACCAGCACCAAGCTAGTCAGGACTTCTCTCTAGCTTTCTGAAAGCAAACTGGAGCTGCTCGTCCCACATTACTCATCACAGCTGGAAATGGACCAGAGACCAGAGTTTTTGTCAGCCAACCAAACATAGTGCATGAGTCCATTAACACGTGGACTGTCACTGTTTTATCAAGTCCTATTAATTGGCTCCATTTCCTTACAAAACTTCTGAATGCAGGCTCTGAAGTTAAATGCCAGAAGTTACAGCATTCCCAAATCTACTCTTGCATAAACCAAGATATAAAATCACCAAGCTATAGGATGCGGTACAATTTACCTCCCTCAGCCACGGACCAGTACAACTTGTTTCAGTTTGCTCAAGTATCACCTGCAAGCTGCCTCATGCCTACCTATCTTACCTGTTTGTAGGGCTGTCTTACTCTATTTTTCAAAAAGAGAATCAAAACTTCACCTGCTCAGGAATGCAGGAGGAAAACAAAAATGCAAGCAAAAAAAAATCTGTAAACATCTTACTATCTAAGGTTGAACACATTTGATGATACAGTACAAATATACAGTTGTAATGTGGTTTTGTCTTTGAAACAATCCTCAGAAGGAACAGAGGTAGATTACCCATGGTACTGTCCCAACCAGTCTTTCAACACAATATTCTACCAATAGGGCAGGAGCCACTAGAACCACAATGATCAATATGGGAGGTAGTGGCTGAATAGAGCAGATTTCTCCTGCTCTTGGGAGTTCTCACATCCTTTTAAATCTGGGTGAGAGTAATGCAAAATTGGTTTTACACACTCATATCAGTCCTCTGCTGAACTATCAGTAGCCACTACTAGTATTTATGAAGGCAGACATAGGAGGAGTGTTCCTACCTACCTACAGAGCATAAAAGCATCTATAAATAATAACCAGGCATGCTGCTTATCATCTCACTCATTTTCTGTACTGCTAAGTATAAAAGGGTCCAGATCTACTTTTTTGTTGAAGGTATATTCCACAGAACTTAATTCTACCATGCCTTAGAGACCAAGGATAAGCAAAGTCCTGGAAGGAGATCTGAAGGTAACACTGTGTGTGTTTGTATGAACAATATGGAATGCATGGGATTCATGCCCTCAAGAAAACATCTACTTTACAATTCAGGTGATATGGAAACTCCGCATTTTCCTTTGAAGAGCCTTCAAAAATATAAGAAATTGATTACCAGGTGAGTAAACTGCAGAATAGCACTACACACACTGAAAAGTGCCTTTCTTAAAAGAGAAGGAAGAGCTTTACACCCCTGAAAAAAAAGACAGGGGGAAGACAAGAGCTGCCAGGGAAGACACAGCAGAACTGCAAATGTCAACATCAAAATGAACAGGGACGTTAACTTAGGATCAGTGATGGCTTTTCAGCTAGTGGATCTTCTGCAGTATTTCAGGAATCACAAAGTCATCGAAGCTCTCATCCTTCTTGCACATTTTGGGACAATTACCAGGCTACATAGATAACTATAAAAGACACATAATCAGCAAGCACAAGTTTTTTGGTTATGACCAGGATTACAAAAAAGCATTCCTGAGTTGTGTCCTGATCTTTTTTTTTTTCCTAGAAATGAATTGAAAAATCCTGTGTAAGACAGTAAGACTGAATTCTCTTGGTCACTGTTCTTCTGTATCACCCACAAGACTAGAACAAAAAAGCCTTAACAGCATCTGCAACTGAAAGGGTTAGTGGCACTCTGGAAACTCCTTTATGCCAGTTACTCACATAGCACCTTTTCATATTATCTTTCCTTAGAAAATAATTTCATTGTAGGAGTAAAAAACAAAATCAAAACCTGGTCCTTTGGGCATGAAAGAAATGCAGACTGTTTCACTGCTCAATTCCTTCTTACTGCTCTAAACTGCATTAGGGAATTCCCTCTTCCCAACACCCGTGACAAACACTGCATCTCATCTTCCAGTAAAAAATAAGCTGCTACAAGAGCAACTGCAAAACCTGGATACACCACACCCTAAATGAGGGAAAAGAATGGAGGTTGAAGCTTACTCCAGGTTAAGGAAGAGGCTACGTGTCTAGGAGGTGAACAGCATCAAACATGCACTGGAAGCAGGTAGCTCTCCTCCTCTGCTGGAGAGAAAAAAAGGGAGAGGGGGTATGAAAATCCTCTCCTCCCAAAGTATGTTAAAAGAGTTTGCAACATTCTCTACTCTCTGATCTCCATTATTTTATAATGTCTCAAACTAAGGCAGAACACCAACCATTATTGTTTTGCTTTTACTCTGGAGCAGCTGCACTGGCAGTCCAATGCAGATGTGTTACCTACCTAACAATGGAAGTAAAACAGGGTAGTTGTAAGGCATCACAAAGAGGTTTACACAGGTTAAAGTAGTGCTTGCTTTTAAATACCCAAACGGGTGGCCGAGTTCGCTGTATTTTCCACTGCTACTCACAAATACCTGACAAAGAATAAGAGAGAGCACTGTATTAGAATGAAGAATGTGAGGAATAGTAAGCAATGGGGCATTTAAAAATTCAAATCAATCCGAATCCAACTGCATTAAGACAGTATTATCAAGCAAAGGCAAATCTGAACATATCAGGATGAGTGAGGACTTACATTCCCCAGTTACCAAACTGAGACATGCAACATTTAGTGTACACCCAGTGAGTGTGGAAATGCTCTTCACAGAGTAATCTTTACTGCTTTAGTGAAACTACTGTGAAGTGATGCCCTGAAGAGTTTTTGATATTATTTAAACCAGGTTAGGGACATCTGTTGAAGGAATGTTAAATAAACAAGCTATTTGAAATTAGTCTTCTGACTCAAAAATAGCACAACTAATGTTTACAGCAATGATGAAAAGAAATGCAAAACATTTTTAAGCACAGAAATTAAACAAAACAAACAACCACTCGAGAAATGTCTTAATTGTGCCCAGTGCAAACATTCTTAAAACTGACTTTATTTTTTTAAGTGCACATATATGAGGGTTTTAACTCTGAAAAGCAATACATGTAAGCAATATTTCAATAGGATAAAAATGGTAGATGTTCTTGACTGAGGCAAGCAAAAAAACCCACATCTAAGTCAAAAATAGTTTTCCTAGAAAAAAATAAACCTTGGAGCAAATAGCAAGTGGTTTTCCTCTGTTTTTTCAGGGCATAAGAAACTGGGTTTGTTGCATGGTTTCTATGACAATGAGCCTATTTCTCTGATTTGTAAGGGTTTGATGTGTAGCTGGGAGGAGAAAAGCAGTTTCTGAAAAACAGCAGAGTTATTTTAGTAACTCAGGCAAACAATGTCCCTAACAGATTATAAAGGACATTTTTGAAACTAGTTTTTTTTAAGTAACTCTAATTTTCCTTCTGAATATGCATGTCATATTTTCAACTAAGTTGTAGTATTTATTAGAGATACAAAAACAGAGACACCCGCAAATTCACCTTCCCAGCTAAACTATCCTACTTGACCATACTCCTGGTGTACACATTAGGCTAATATCTGAAAGAACACCACCAAGAAGGGATCTTGATTTTAGAGAGGACACAGAAACTTATAAAAAAATTACAAAAGTATCACATGACAAATATTTCAGCAACAGAACTTCAACCTCTTCAAGGCCAATCTAGTCAACAGGATCAACAGCTTCCATTCAATTCCCATTAGCAGCCTCGACCATCTAGTGAAAATGATTTGCAGCTGTTCATTAGGTAACATAATGGAAACTAGTACTGGGTTTTTCCCTGTAAGCAAATGGAACCCTGCAGAGATTTTCAATTTAGCAAAAAATGGAACCTGGGAGGCATATTTCTTAGCAAAATGAGATGGACCTAGAAAGAGAATTAAATGAGATTACAAAGCCTGTGGAAGGAACACTCAATTCTGACTCCTGATAATTCTCTTAGAAAGGAGGTAAGTGAAACCTTGACATGTTTCTTCTCATCTGCTGCAGAGCTTGAACCAGGCCCCAATTCTCCAAGCTTGCAAAGACTGAAGTACCTCAGATTACCCATTACATTTCTAGAATCAAAAAAAGGGCAAGTACCTGCCAGCAGGTATGGGGAGACTTTCGTTCCAAGATGTACTGGGTGAGGGGTGAAGGCTCAAGCTCATACTTGTCAAAAGGAAGTTTGTCTATGACCATGGGCTCACAATCCACACAGGAGAACCTCACCACAGGGTGAGCTGTGCGTGGAGGCTGAAAGGGAGGAAAAGGGTATCAGTTTTCACATATTTATGGCAAACACATCGATTCTCTTAAAAACATCCATAAGAGGGTATTTCACCATCCTGTAAGTCTTAAAACACAGTATTCCTTTGAAGATAATAAAACACAAGCTCCCATAACAGAATATAAACTAAATATTTCTCTAATTGAGAAAAACCAATTTCCTACCAAGAGAAAAATAAGGTTAATATGCCACTATTTATCTTTATATTTAAAAGCCTTCATGTCAATTGAGCTACAACACAGACAGGCTTAAAGGAGACTTCAACTCTTCTTCCTAGCTTGAAGTCCACAGAAAAAGAGATGGGAGAGGGCACTCAATTCACAAAGAATCTCTCAAAGAACTCTCAAAGAAATCTTTCTTTTTTTTTCCCTCTTTAATCAGGAGGTGGGTGCAAGGAGAATGGACAGAGAGTACCTTGTGCACTTGCAAAGTGCAGGAACAGAACATGCCAAACAAAAGAGATGTTTCGAAAGGCTAATAAGGCATGCCAAATGTATGATCAGTTCAGTAAGAAAAGGAGAAATTAATACTGGTTTTCTCCTCATTTTCTGCAGGGATTAGCTCTTCTCTTTCAGTTTTAATTCTTCCTGCTAGTGAAAGAGTCTCCACATGAAGTAATACTAAGGAAAAAAAACCCATGGTTGATCTTCTTTCAAAAACAAATATTCATTTTTTTCCATGTTAATGAATTTTATAAAGCTTTGATTAAAATTTAATTAGGCTTACTATGATTTGTGCTACATGAAGTAACTTACAGTTCTATTTTTTAACCTTCTAAAATCTTTCAGCAAATTAACTAACCATATACACTGAAGTGAACTTTCTGGATACAAGAAATGTCACATGTTAAAAGTAGCCACATTAGGTTATACTATTCTGTCAAAAACAGTTTTAACCCTTTAAAGCAAAGTCACATCATATTATAAATAGATAGTAAAAACTATTCTATCCATTATCTATTTTCAGTCTGTTCAACTATTAGTATAGAATCCTTTTTTTCAGTTCTTATTTTACTTACCAGTGTTGGTGAATTCTGATCAGGCCAAAAAGATTCTGGGATTGGCCAATGTCCCACAGGAACACCCGTTTTAGGGTTAGGCCGTACATAAATGAGTTTATGACAACTATGCCACGGCTGAGAAGCAAATGAATTGATGGGCCTGGATGAATCAACAAGTCCATCTAAAATTTAAACAAAGCAAAATAACAAAAAGAAAATGAAAAGCTACATGCATGCATTTGTCTGCTAGCAAAATTTCTGTATTAGCAGCCAGTAATGCATTTCATTACTCTTATTCCAAAGACATACAGATCTTTATATCAGAGGCTGAAATAACCTATGCATCCAGGTGTATCACAGAATCATCTGAGAAACAATTCCAGTATTTGCCCTGATCTCCCTTCTGCTCCTGTGGCACAGCCATTACACAGTGAGTGCAGCAAGGCATACTCACATGCTATGGAAAATGTATTTGCCTAAGCTCAGTGTCTGACACAGCTCCCACAGGCAGCACCAAGCTACTGCTGCTGGTTCTGCTGCACCTGGAGAGGCTGAGAATTGGCATTTGCATTTCTACATGGGCTGCAGCGCTCACTGACTGATGCTGCCACACATGGAAACTCAAAGAGGAGCAAAGTTTCTTGGAGAAGTTGGATCCATCTTGCAGGAGGCAGTTTTTGCCATATTTTTAATTGTAACAATTCACAGATCACCTAAACCCCACAGCCTGCTGCAAAGGCCAGCCTTGCCTGCCAGCCCAACAGCACAGAACTCCTGCATACTGAGGATAAAGAACTTTGTAGCACGATAGATGTAACCAGTAGTTTTCAAAGACTGCTCTTCAAAGCAAACAGCACAGCAGAGATCACCCACTTAACCAATCTTCAGTGTTTTAAAAAGATTTTACATTAATAGTTTTCCTTGCTTTAGAGAATTAGTCAGTAATACTGTGGAAACTATGTTTCTGTGAAACATCAGTTTTGTTTCTCTGCATTATAAAAACAGTGATTTTTACAACTTGGGAAAATCCTATAGTATTTCTCTCTAGTTTAGGACTTTCTCAATTCCCATAGAGATGAAAAGTCTTGGCATTTTTATACATTCATATCCACAGTCCATCACCATTCAAATGTGACAGAAATGAAGGTAACAAAATCCCCACATTTCACCAGTCATTCTGCCACATAGGAGAGAACATTTGGGCCACCAGAGACATTTGGGAATTTGGTGCTGTGCTGTCCACCACAGCATTACAAGAAAGCCTTCTTTAAATAAGCAAAAGGAGAAAACAAACATAGAAAAAGCTGATTCTAGAATGAAAGCAGGAATAAAGCTGGCTTTGCCAGAATATTCAGGTGATGCTAAAAGCTATTCTATTTTCAGATATTCCAGGATCCTAACTTCCTAAACTGGAACTACTCAGCCCTCTCCCTTTAAGCCATGAACTTCTCCAAATCTGAAGAACTGCTTCACATTTGGAGTGCACTATCCTCTTTTCCTCTTATACACCAGACTAACAGGGAGCAAAGTAATTCTTTGTTCTTTGCAGTTTTTCACTCACAGCTGAGAACATTCACCTGCATCTCACTGATCTGTGATCATTTAGCAGAATGAAAATCTACAGAAAATTAAGCAGAGATTGCTTTAGAGATGTTGAAGTGTTTAAATACACTACTGCTAGATTTAATTATTTTAAGTGCAGTCCTGACAACACTGTAATTCAAACTTAAATGCTTCCTGCAAACATTCACTTTCCTCAGCCATCCAAAAAGAGGAGTGACACAGAGCCAGCCAGCAGTAGATGATCCATATAAGCATGTGCAGACATATGGTATCATTGAACTTAGCAAGGATCAAACTAACATTTGTAAAAGGTGTATCCTGTTCACTATAGGAAAAAGCTGGCAGGAAGAACATGGAAAACACTTAAGGACATCTACACACAAACAAAATATTTTGTCTTGAACATTAGGAGCAGGGAAAAAAAAAACAACAATCACTGTACCTTCTCCAATAGGAGCTGGGTCTGGTCCTGACTTCTCAAAGTTAATAACAACTCCACTTTGGACTTTTTGAACTAAAGATTCTAAACACTGATTCAACATTCTTTGTGTCCGAACGCAGTACGAACGACCTATGCAAGAGAGAAATTACATGGGGAAACAGAAAAGCAAATTTTGAGTAATCTTATTTAAGGAGAAGTTTTATTACCTAAGTCATGCTGCCAAGGCTTGTAATTTTCTCCAAAATAATAACAACAAACTATGTACAAGTTTATGTAAAAGGCAAAGTACTTTACAAATCCAATACAACCAAAAAGAACCAAAACCCCCACAGCCTGCTGAGATTTTGTTACTAAAAAGAGACCATTAAGGCTTCATCAGGCTGGACCAAGGCCAAGTTTATAGAGGCCCTTAGGAAGGCCTGATTTCACCAAGACTATGTAATCTGCTTTTGTCTACTCAAACCTCCTCCTCCCACACAACAATTTCTCCAAGCACCAATTTAAAAAAAATTCTAATCAACATATCAAGCAATAGGCTCCAGAATTAATTTTTAAAGATTAAATTTAGCTTATCAGCCCTGAAGCAGAATTAACATCTCACTAATAGCAGTCCTGCTCAATTCAACACTTAAAAAAAAAAAAATTTAAAAAAAAACTCATGATGAGCAAAGCCAACCTCCAGAATAACCAAAGAAATTTTCCAAAACCTCCTACTGCATTTTAGAAAATGCTCTCACATCTACACTTGAAATAGGAATATTGCTTTATTTTAAAGTTCTCCTATGCTACTGGAATCCAAGAAAGCACCACATGGATTCACATGGACAGAGTAATTCAGACAAACAGGAAGAGGTGAAGGTGAATTAAAGGAAAATAAGTATTTCAAGGCAAATGCCAAATGTGAAGCAAAGCAAAAAAGCATCCAGTTACCTCCTGTAACCTCACACATCTGTGTGATAGCAGATTCATCAGTAGGCACACTCCCAAGCTGCTCTGGCTCTGCAGATGCAGCTCCTGGCAAACGCAGTACCAGAGCAAACAGCCTTTGATCCCAACGGAATGGTTCTTTGGTTAGTTCACTTCCAGGCAAAGGAGAATTCAATGGAAGATGAAGCTGGTAAAAAAAGATTTAAGAACATTTTATAGTATTTGACAAACCAGCTAAAAACATCACATCCAAATTAATTCATTTATCTGTAAAAGACCCCTTTTCTCTCCAACCCACTAATTTATCTCAAGTTCTCATCTCAAAACCCTTACAGACTATGAATTTAGGGGCTTGGCAATGACAGAATAGCTGGTTTCTATTCTCTATAAAAACAGGTCAACGATGAAGAAGTACAATTAGCAGGAAAAAACTGATTAATATTCAGCAGCATAGAACCAACCTGCACAATCATAACTTGAAAGAACTTAATGCACATTTACCTCCTCTTGGACTCCAGCTGTATTTGTCAGTTTGTTTCCATCTGTTATGGTAATCAAAATAGATGGCTCCAAAAAGAACGGATTCCTTCCCTACAAAAAAAGCACAAGAATGCAAAGAGCAACCTTAACACACAGGCTGAGAGACTTGTATTTTTGTCATTATAAAATAAACAGTAAGATAAGCAATCTTTCAAAATAATCCTGTAATTTTTTTTAGTAAGTGTGGAACCACACGGAACTACACAAGATGGGCTACTCCTGTGAGTCTACAGTTTGGGCATTTATACTCTGCTTCTTTGTACTCCAGTAATGAAGAAAATGCCAGCATTTTCCAGGGTCTTTTCATAGCCATAAGAAAAAAATTAGTTCCCAGTTCAAGCTCTTACACGGAGCTATTCAACATTAAAAAAAGTTAAATGCAAAAAGGAACTTGAACCACCAAAATCCCTCACCAACTGTAACTTAAGAAAACACAGAAATACAAAAGGCAGAAGACTATAGATAGATTTGTTACCTGTCCATAGTTGTCTATTCCAGACACTAATCTATTGAGATTTAACAAGTCAAACGATGACCTGAGTGCCTGACCAAGTGTTGTTAGTCCTGAAGCCTGAAGGTTTTTCAGTTCATTCATGAATGTTGCGTGGTTTTCCTTCCATCCAGCCTGTTACATAAAACAAAAAAAGCTTATTAGTTATTCTAGTAGCAAACTGCAATCAACCGCAAGTTGGCATTTATCTCTCTTCCCAACAAAAATTAATTATATTCCTGATTAACGGATGCACTGCACCATTTACATGCTGCACACACCTAATCCAGGTATGCACAACTTGATGTGAAACATGGTCACACCTACAATGGGAGACTCAAGAAACACACACACTGCCAAGCACTGGAAAAACTTTGCATTACCATGAAAATTGCTGTAGAGATGACGCTGTTAACAGAAGTATTTGGATTTAGCATGTAAATATTTTTTTAGGAGAAACTGCCAAGTTTGGAAATCAGAAATGCAACTGCCAAAGTAACTGCAAAGGTAAAACCAAGATAAAAGCACCATAATGTCACTGCCTCTTCTGGCACATACCCATTTCCTTTTTATCCTTTCTTCCATAAATTAAAGGGAAGAAAAGAAAGGAGTGGCTGCACCCTATTAAGAATCAAATCACTGTTTAATGTCTCAGGGTAACAGCTTAAAAATTTGGAGGTCTTTAAAAAAATTACTGCTGACAAAGCCTAGGGATCAAAGGAACAACAAGTGATGAGGGTGGATCAGTCCAACCAAACACTCTGGACCCTCTGGTAAGCAGGCCCAACAGGTGTGATTCACATTCCCTTCCCTTAAAAGTGGTTTGCTGCACAGTTGGGAAGCTATTTTAGAAAACCAGCTCACAGGGAATTGGTACAGGATTTAAAGATGCCTCAGCTAAAAGCCTGAGAGTCCTGGATATTCCTGTAACTCTCAGCCTTGCTTTCACACCATACTCTCCAAGCCACTCCTGCAGCAAGCAAGCAAGCAGTTATTCACCCAGGCTCGCTAGCATCTGGCACCAGAGACATTCCCCATGCTCCTCCAGGAATCCCAGCTATGCAGACATGGAGAGCATCATTTCAGACAGCCTGACTTCTGCTGGGACACCTCTGAGCAACACATCCTCCAGGTGAAGTAGGTTCTCCTCCCTGTGCAACCTGCTGGCTGTGCCAAGTTGTGCAAGAACACAAGAGGACAGGATTTTCCTGTGCTTTTTTTAAGCAGCTCTATCCCATTGCCAACCTTTAGTACACACTGAGGGCTCTGTAAATGGTCTTAAGATAGACATGTTCAGAACTGTAAAAGATATTAGAATTAAGTAGAAAGGACATGTGATGATCAATACTTTTGTTGAGTTGACAAGCCTAAGCTGGGTGGATTTCTTTTCAGAAAGGAGAATTATCATAAGATGATACAACAAAAGTATTTTGGTCAAGTTTCGCTCCCTTAACCAGTTCTTCAAGCTTGAGATTAATGCAAGGGATGCAAGTAAGAAAACTCTGCAATGGGACAAAGACAGAACAGACTTTCACCAGGACTAGTTCAGCTTTATGATTAAACTGCCCTGGCAGCTCAAAAGAACCAGGTAATTCTCAATAAAACACCAACACTCACACACAAGCATAACTCAAAATATAGCATCTCATCAGCAGAGCCACAGCAACCTCCCACACCTGTGGTCAGCTCAAGGCAAAAATGAAATGCAAGCATAGAGTCACTGTTTTATTAGAGTAAAAGTGACTTGGTTCACAGTATTTTTTCAGAGTGAAATAGCACCAAACCCAACAAGATGATTTGCCTTATCCTAAAAAAGCTTCTCTTAAACAATTTTAAAGTGAATAGTTACCAAAATTGTTTTGTCTGAATTCCACAGACCCATAAATGTAGGTGAGACTGCTCCCTTTTTTCTGGCAAAAACACCCATCAGTGTTCTTGGGAACAGCCAGGCTGGAGTTCAGAAAGTGTTTTCCAGCAAAAACCATTTGCCTCAAGTTGTTTCTAAAGCACATGGGGGAACAAAAGAAACATTATTCTCAGTCTACATTTCTTGATTTGAACTCCAATGAATTTAAGAGTATTCTTTATAAAATAAACAGTAAGAGTCTTCTTCACTGGTATTTGGAGATTCTGCTATTTTCCCGTTGTGAAAATGTTTGCTCAGCTTCCAGCTCTCTGTTTGATCTTGCTGCAGTGTGGTCAACTCTCTGCAAAATAAAACATGTACCATTTCCCCAGGCAGAAGTAGGGAAGCTGAAGGTACAAGGAGCAGCTGATCACCAATGGTTGGCTGTCCAAGGAAACTATTTTTTATCTTACAGCTCTCACAGGATCTTTAAAGATAAAGCCAAGGAGAGCTGTACCTTTGAAATAAACAGAGTAAAATGTAAAATGGAAGAACTTCTCATAATAAGAACAGCAAATGCAAGATTTCCAATCCAGCTCTAACTAAAAAACTGATTAGTTAATGTACTCCATTTGCTACCTTATCCTAAAAAAAAGATTCTTTAATCAAAAACACTTAAATCAATGACAAGTCTACTTCTGTAAAATGTTTTTCTCCAGAAATACTCAAGCCAATGTATATAATGAAATATGTATTTCAGGGACAGAAACGCCAGCTCCATAGAAGTCTGTATATTCTCCTTTCCACATATACAGTAGGAACATTCTTAGGGCAAAACAGAGTCAAGTACCCAACACCAAGCAGATGCACAATGAGTTCACATTGAAGTGATTAAATAATAATCCTTCCTAAATTCAAAATACTACCACTAACACTGCTTACAAAAAAACCCACTGACTTTATTTGCCAGGAGAAACACTAATGACCAAAAAAAACCTGACCAAAACCCCACAACCTTTAAAGGACCAAATTCAAACATATTCCACAAAACTACTAATCCTCTACTACAGGTCAGTAACTAAAAAGTCAGAACTGAATAATAGTTATTTCAGCTGTTTATGAACCAATTTGAACAGTGAGAGTATTTGCTTCTAATCTTCAATATTACATTCCGACTTAGTCACTTTTATGTCCAGAATTTATTAATAGCCATCTGAGCTGCCTTTACCTTGCCAGTATATTACTGACCTTTCCTTTGATAATTTATATGAACAAATAATTTTAGACTCTAAACACATACCAGAAGACTTTCAAAGATAGCTAGGAAAAAACAAGTACTAAAATCAAAAATCTCACCCTTTGCTTATGCCAACAACAGACAAAAATGCACTGTCATTTGGCCTTCTGCAAGCTCTGGATACCATCCTACAAACCACCCAGAGATTTGGAAGCATCACACCACCCTCCAGTGCCTGGCTTCAGCCTTGGCAAGCAAATCATGCTGACAAGAAATAACATACTTAAAAAGTAACATTTTTCTCTGGTAACTTAGTTTTCAGACAAATCCGTGCCCTGCTTATATTTCACCACTCAGCTACAGAAGTATTTCAGCTGCTTCAAGAAGCAGGTAAGGTCAAAACAACTTATTTCAGCAGGAGAAAGCCCCACATTAATGAGAATTCAAACACCAAGGTGAAAAATACAGTGAAGAAAAAGAGATTTTATTTAGACCAAGCAGAATCAGGACTAACTGAACATCAAAATAACAGAGTTGAGCAGCAAAAGAAAAACTTGGTCAGAGTCAGTAGCTTAAAAAGACCTTCAAGATTTAGGAGAAACAGAAGATTTTATTTGCAAGAGACTAGAAAGAAAAGCTTAACATTCTGTAGGAGTTAAAAAACAAAAAGAAACCACTCCACCTTTATCACATAAAAGGGGGCAATATCAATATACAAGTAAAACAGTACCAAGTTTTGAATATACGTAACACAGATCTTGAAATCTCAGCTACACTGGCTTATCTGTCAGGTTTACTGGTCTTACTGAATTTTTTTAATGGTTCATTGTTGGTTTGTTCTGGCTTTGTTTGATGCTGTGCTTTTTTTCTTTTATTCCTTCCAACTATTTCTTGGCACAGTTTTGTCAGCTTGTAAAAAAAAAAAAGAGGCAGAGCCAAAGGCTGGGCATTAGAGCACAAGAATTCCAGGTCCAAAGCAGTTCCCAGTTTCACCACCTTCAGGAAGTCCAGGGACATGGTGCTTTGGAGGCTGCAAGTATTTACCTTCAGAGCTTATAATAAGCAATGCCATAAGACTGAACTGCACAGTTTATTGTTCACTGGATTGCTTTCAAATCTAATTCTAAAATTGCAACATTACTAAAAATAATCTTCCAAGAAGACAATTTGCAATCCTGCATGCCAATCACAACAGCCTGTGTTACAGTACATACTCAATAGTTAGTCAAACATACACATTTTTAATAATTCTGCTAATCTAGAAAGAACAACTGCATTTTAGATATTACAACTTGTTCAAAGTATCTCAATAATTCAAGCTATTATTAACTGCACCCATCTTAGGAAAAGAGACTACCTTGAAGATAACATGTCTGTGGCATCCTAGCTTGTCAGTGGCAATCACTTGGAAAAAAGGCAAGAAAAAAAAAATCAGCTGTTGAAATCTGAAACCACCGCTGCTATGGAATTTCCAAGTACCACAGGAAGACAGAGAAACCAGCAGAGCACTTTGCCTCCCAAATCAACAGAATTACTCATTTTTAAACTACCTTTCTGTTCACTGGTGACTGTACACATGATCACAACTCAGCCCTACTCATGTCTGAGCCAAAGTCAAGCAAAGTCAAGTGTTTCTTTTGTACAGAATTGAATTATTCTTTTTACACCCTATCATTCACGGGGCTGCTTCCCAAATGCCGAATTATCTCCATCTCTTTGTAATCTCCTGAACCCAGCACTGCTCAGCGGGTTCTGCAGCAGGGAATAACCTCCTATGCTGCCTTGAGCTTCCCTGCCTGAGCATCGACAGCTTTGGCATAGGAGTTTTAGCAAGCCAAGAGTGTCTTGGTCACCCCAGTTCTGCCACAATAAAACTCAGCAAACAGGGAGAGGGAGAGGTGCTAGTACCATGTGCCCCCTGCCCATGAAGGACAGGGTAAGGCTTCTTGTCAGTACAGAGCAGCCAATGCCCACACCACCCCCATGTGTTTGATCTGTTATTCGAAGATTTGCTAGCTAAAAATAGTACACAGGAGAAGAAAGGTACTGACT